TATTTAACTGTTGCTGTCATTGTTATGAGTGGATTTCCAATTGAATACTGCATTTTAATGACATAAATTTACAATATTAGTGACAATTTTAGGAAAAAATGGCGGCCATTTTGAAACAGCTGGCAACCCCCCCTTACGTATGAAAAAAAAAATGTTGCACATACTTTTTTGATTTATCTATGTCTATTCTACATCATATCCAATTTTTTAAAAATATAGCAAAAAAAAAATGCAACCAACCAAAGTTTGCTGGACTATGAATAGAATGTGCTGAGAACGAATGATATTGCTTCCATTAGTTGTTTACAATCATGTAGGCGGTGTTTGTTCGGGGAAAAAATAATCGCTCGGGGTGTTTATGGGAGAGAGGCGTTTATTCCAAATGCGGCTATGGAGGGGGTGTTTATTCAAATAAATACTGTATTTGTATTTTAGTATAACGCAGCCTTTGACTGTAGGATAATAGATGGAACATTTCACACTGGCAGTCCCCAGCATCATCCCTACATTTTACCCACCGTCGCGTATCCCTGAGCCCACATTTTTCCAAAAAAAAAACAACAACAACAACAACAAATTAATTACTTTGGCATGAAAATAAGTTTACTTTTTGGCGTTAGGATAATGCATTGAGATAAGAGAGCTACTTATGTACATGCCTGCGTTGACCTCGTCGCTGTCTTTGAATTTACAACTCTATAAATATTTACCTTATGTCAACAGGTATATATTATGTGTATATAATATAATAACAATTATATTTAAGGAGATGATAAGATCATGACACGCGGAATCGATGTGACACTTTTATTGTGGTGGTGGAGAATGTAGCTGACTTGCTAACGCTATTACAACCCATGCACTTTGGTGTTAGACTTGCTGCATTGCATGTTTAAATGAAGATCATTTTCCTGGAAGTAACAAAATATGTCAGCTTTCAGAGAACTTGAGCATAACCATTGCGGTAGGGTAATTATGGCATATGTAAATATACATGCACAGCAATCTTTTAATTAAGTGATCAAGTTTTGTTTGAAAGAACAGCGACAGGGACAGAATTCTGAAATAGTAAGGTACACTGTGAATAATGTTTATAAGATGAGGGCAGCATATATAAATGAGGAAAATATATACGTGTATATGTACAGTTCAGAGGAAACTGATAGATTTCTTAACAGTGTGAATAGATAATATTGCTTAGTGATTCTGCTTCTCTCAGCATTTTCAAAAACAGTTTATAATTACATCTTGTTTAAACATTTTTATTCCGACGTTTCTTTAACCAGCGTGTTGAGACTTTATGCGCTTTAACAAAATTTTTCGTCTGTGCCCTGTGGAATTGTGGGATTAATGTAAAGCCCTGTCCAGTCTATCAAATGTTATTTGACAGAAACATGAGACATGCCTAAATATGGTCATGATCACATCATGACTATAGATACATTATGACGTATATATGCTTTTGTAAAAAAAAAAATGTTTTAATAATCAGGACAGAAATATACACATAATGACAAATACAGTAATAAAACCTCTATAACTTAAAAACACATGATACTTCAACATATACAATAACATCAGAAATTGTAATTATTTTTATTATAATTGTGTTTGTATAGCGCATAATAATGAATCGCATAATGAGGTATCAACCATTGTTTTTCATAAAATAAATATTATACAATTAAAGGGTTTATTTGTGTGGCGAGTCGAATTGCCGAGCGGTTAGCAGGGGCGCCGAAACCTACAGTCATAGTATCGACGCTGGTTCGAACCCCATGTTCGCCTATGGTTCTGGTGGTAGAACAAGTCTTCTCGGATAAGGACTATAAACCGTAAAGGCCTAAGGTGGATTCCATTTTAATATTGAAGTAGGTTTACCCATGATAGAACTGTCCATTTAAAAGGCATACTGTACTTCGATTTTATACTTGCAGAACACACCTTCATGAAAAGATTCAATCCAAGGATGAGCAAGGAATAAAGGAGTTAGTAAAGAGTCATCCTGAATGGATGGCCTTTAAAGATGAAGAGGTAAGACATTTGTATCTATGTATGTATGCATATGTATGTATGTATACACATCTAGATGTGTATAAGAGACAGACATCATATCCAATTTTTTAAAAATATAGCAAAAAAAATGCAACCAACCAAAGTTTGCTGGACTATAAGTCTCAAATTTAAATGAAAGGGACCGTGTTTCACATGTAAACATTGGGATAATACATTAGTTGCAAAGTTATCTTCTTTGACACGTTGGTAGCTCTTAGTATTTTAGTTTGTCGAACTTAGCCCAGACTAGTGTGTTCGTCGCTTTTCATCTTCGATTGTTCCATCCTTCAAGCAGATCTTTTTGGGTGAGACACAGACTAGATTCCTTATTCTTCCCATGTTATTTCATCTAAATATTTCAGACAGGCGCACTGATCATTCTCAATTCTTGAAATGAAGAAAAAGTATTAATATCGTTGCCAATACATTTGTATTGATTATCTACAATAATTAATCGAATTCATTTAGAAGAAATTTCCTTTATTACACTGCAAAGTATGAAACACTCACATTATCACAGATCAACATGATCCCTTTTCTAATTTTTGAATTGAACTTTAATTTTATATGTTTTATATATCATATCTTATTGTTGTTGGCCAGGGGTTTAGAGATGACCACTTGTTGTGTTGGGCTTTAGCCCATGTCATCTCTAGTCACACCCCTAGTCAATATGTGTTTATCTATATCGTGGCAAATTTTTAATGAATAAATAAATAAATAATACAAGGCCTACATTGTAAACGGTTCAAATTATGAGATCGATTTGCGACAATGGGGCAAATCAGGAATCATTACACAATGTTAGGATGAATTATGGGCTAAAATTACAAATAAATAAATTAGTAAAATGCATAAAATGAGATCATAATCTAAATTGCTCGTATTTGTCTTCCCTGCCTAATACTGTAAAAATATGTCTATGCATTTAAGGTAAAGGTAGTCCCATATACATTACTGAACGTAGGGGAATGAGCTGTGAGCCCATTGTACTAAGCCTCGGTATTGTGTGGTAGGGTGGCCAGTTCCATTCCATGCCGCCTTTTTTGCTCCCCAGTAGTAAACCACCGGGTACCCATTTATACTCCTGGGTAGAGGGACAAACGTAGATAAAGTTCCTTGCCCAAGGACACAAGTGACTTGCACAGTGAGAATTCCGAACCCCTGACCTCAAGGTTTGGAGTCAAAGCCACATCCGATGCGCCAACCGCTTCTAAATAAAAATGTCGGTGTCCGCGAAATGCGGGGGTCCGCTAGATTATAAAAAACAACTTTTCATCATTCCGCTGTATTTTCTTGTCTTGTCTGACAACCACAGTGTGATCATGCCTCAACAATAATTAAATACCATTGACAAGCATGACTTCGTTTACTGTTTTAACTGGCATTATATTTTAATTCAATATTTTATCTGGTACAATCTATTAAATTAGTTGTTTATATAATATAAAGATGTTGAGTATACGAGAGCCACTTGGTAATGGCAATCCTCATGTAACGTATATGTTGTTTTCATGTATTCTCCTGTATTGCTTTTACCTGGATATTAAATAAATTTTTTTTAATCACGAGGTAGCTATAAATTTGACATATCAAAGGTAATTGGGGATAACAGAATATTACATTCTGACAGTGTCATTTCTGGCCATCTGAAAGTGCAATAAACATGAAAATTTCGTACCTCAGCCCCAGCCATGGTGGGCTGAGGTACAGTAATACCCCTTTCTGTAAAATTTACTGTCTGCACCCCTCCTCTCCTGTCTATGTCGAATTCCAAGAACTGTCGTAATTTTGGCGAATCATCTTCTATCTATAATCTTATTAGTGGAATATCAACCATGAGTTGACAAACAAACAAAAAAACAAAACAAACAAAATTTTACAAATAGAAATTAAATGGGTTTTAAATTAAATTACCTTAAAATTTTGAGTGGGACAGTGCAATTTCAGGCGATCTAGAAGTGCCATAGGCATAAACAAATGTTGTATCTCAGTCCCAACCATGGTGGGGCTGAGGTGGTTTCTATTTCAAATTCCAGGATTCGCCACTGTTTAATGTTTTACTCATAGGAAATCATCTTCTATCTATAGTACTATTGTTGGGATATGGACAATGAGTAATATTTAGATATGGGGGTCCGTGAAGACTTTTGACATGTGCAGAGAAGTTCGCGAACTGAAAAAGATTGGGAAATGATTGTCATGGATCTTTCACGGACTCCTTAATGTTAGACATAAAAACCCATAAAAGTATGAGTGTCTAAATAGGCCTAGTAAAAAGGTATGTTAATGTACCCGCTCCCGAATAAACCTGTCGTGGTACACCGACCAATTTATATATGCGTCAATCGGGCCCGATTGTACTCTCGAGCCAGGAAAGTCAGAACCTAGTTATGCAACTGTTTTTAACTGCACCCAAAAAGAAGTATTATCATAACTTGCACGACTGTGACAAAATACTGAACATTAGTGCTTTTCCTAATTGCCATGATGAGAATTGATATTGAAATTACAAAAAATAGTTTAAAAATACATTTAAAAAAAAACAAATATAAAGTCATAATAAAGAGAATAATGAATGAAGACAAAAAAAAATCCCATGGAAACAAACTCGAACTATAGCTACAGTGATAATAGCGAGGGTTATGTTAAGAGCTCTAACTATTACGACTCNNNNCGGTAATTTCACAGGTTTACGGCAAAAATTACATTTTACAGTAATTTTGCGTTTTACCTAGCTATACAAGTTTGAGACTCTTTAGACACAAACAGAAACGTTTAATTACCCGGATTAATAGTTGAAATATGTAGAATGACGTCATGTTTTAATATGCACATACTTAATAAACTGGTAGGCCTATAATGGTCTTTGCTTTGACAAAGTTTAAAGAGAACAGTGCCGGAACGCTGGAGCCGAGGGCCCCGTGATTTTCTGAAACCGGTGGCCCTTTTGGGTACCAGTCACCATCATTGTGGGGTTTCTAGTGCTCGTTTTGTAATCATGTTTGCCATTGTATTCTAATTGTTTTAACGACGGAATAAATGATATGTCAGTTGCGGATCCAGGCATTTGTAATAAGGGGGGTGGGGGAATGGAGAGACTTTCAGGTGGAGGGTCTATACGATGTCATCTCCACTAATGGTTGAATATAATTTCTTTTTATCTTATTTTTAAAAATGTTTATAAATTTATGGGGCCCCGGGCTGGTTGCCACCCAGCCTTTCCCCTCCTAATTTGACACTGGATATAATATGAAATATGTCCTTGTGTATATATTTTTTTTATTTTTTCGGCTAATTTCCATGTGTTTTCGGTTTTTCAGTGAATTAATAGTTTTTACGTTTTACTGTGGTTTTAGTCACACCTGGTATAAGATCACTGCACTTGCTGAAAATCGAAATTGTACTTACAGTAAAACTGCTTGTACAATTCACTCATACTACCACATCTCGACTACAGTGCCTCTATATTATGTATATTATGAGTCACTAAAAGCCAGTTAAATGCTAACAATTGTGGATCCATTCTATTCACCGGGTTGGCTTGACACCATTTCGCAGCGTACTATGTCTCCCATAATACTTCAGGGTCACTTCAGGGGCGGATCCAGCCGGGGAGGGCCTGGTGGCTTTAGTTTTAATACCAATATGGTTAGTAATATTTATGATATATCTGTAATACTATGGTAGGAAGGCGTTACACCTTGTTAATAACAATTGACTAAATATTTCTCTCCTCGCGACTTTCCAGCGTGTCGTGATATTTTGGTTGAATACAAAGATGTCGTTTCACAGTTCGTTGGGCTCACATTAGATGTTTATTAAAGAAACCTGCTTGTAATTTTGATTTCCCTAGTTATCAATGATTTAGATGTGATTTTTATTTATTGTAATCTTTGATAATAACGTTATACTTACAATTGTCATGTTTAATCTTTATTTTTTTAATAATATATATTTAAGCCTATATGTATTAAGAAATGTGAATACACTATATCATTTTTACTAAATAAACAATGTTTATATTTTAAGCCAAGTTTTAATGTAATTTAAAAAATAATGTATTAGTAAATATGATATTGACATAAATACTTATAATAATGATGATCATGAATAGGCCTATAAATTTAAACAAATGAATTTTTAATTAAATATTTTTTCTCTATATTCTATATAACAGTTTTTTAGTTTATATATTTTTGTTTGGTTTTCTTCAATTACTGTATTTAAATTACTTACCGTAATGTATAATTTAATCTCTGTTTACTCGGATTGCAATAAAGACCATTTTGATTTGGATTTTGATGTGCATTGTTCTAGTAAGGTCGGTATTCGAACTTATAGTATGTTGACGATTTAAGACAAATGGCGAACTTTACCTTAAATTACGTATTCGTGTTTTTTTTTTTCAGTTTGGTGATATTCCTTTAATGTATGCGATGCAATTAAAAGTATCATGTTCTGAGGATATAGTTTTATATTTGTTGAATGAAACGCCTACAGAGTGCATAAACGACCAAAACGATGTAAGTACCTAGATGTTTTTGAAACTGCTGCTACTACGGCTAAAACTATCACCTACCAATCCCATTACTATATAATTTAATTCAATTTCTGTGCATGGTACCTGTCTAAAAAAGCTTTACCTGACACTTTCTTCTCTTTATGTAACATATTTTCTTTTTGGTTTTTGAATTTGTTAAACTACGGTATTAGTTGCACATAAATTTCGGTTTTAAATAATTAGTATATCAAATCACTTTACACACAATCCATTGCAGGGACGTATCCAGGGGGAGCCGCGGCTCCCCCCCCCCCTTTGTACACAGTGTTAAAATTTTAAAGCTTATTCTTGAGCCAATACAAATTCTTTCCTGGGATCACTCAAAATAAATCTTCTAAAACATGTAAATATGCATCAGTACACGTTATACATAGGCCTAATAGAACACAGGCCTAAGCGTGATTTAAACGAATCTTAAATTCATAAATCTCAGGCCAGGTCTTTTAAGATAGAAATGCGATACTGTGGTTCAATTTCGTTTTTATCCTTTTGCAAGTTTCTTTAAATGTTTGTTTAATAATACTACTACTAATAGTGATAATAATAACAATGATGATGATGACGATAGTAATAATTGATATTAATATTAATAACAATAAAAAGTGAAGAAAATTGTGCTAAATGCGAAAAAAGTTGTGATTTGTTGATTATACTATAGTATATAGTTAAAGCTTAGTAAGCTATAATTAGGCCTAAGTTGTCCTGGATATTAAGTAGGTCCCTGATAAAAGATCATGAGAAATTTGTTGGCGTTTCATTTTGACTATAATGGTAATATGATGATGATGAATTTTATTATATAAAAGTGTCATTTCCGGCCATTTCGAGAGGTACTATTTCCTGAAATTTTCTCACCTCAGCCCCAGCCATGGTGGGGCTGAGGTGGTTGTGAAGTCACGTTTTTTAAGTAGCCCTATGTAAAGTACATACTCAAAGACAATGTTTTTAAGCTTTGTTTTCTATGGTGTATACACACACATTAATAAGATCTCTATGGTTGTCAAAAAATCCCTGATAAAAGATCATGAGAATTTCTTTTGGCGCTTCATTTTGACTAATGGTGATGTGGTGATGATGAATTTTACTAAAAGTGTCATTTCTGGCCATCTAGAGGTATTATTTCCTCAAATTTTCTCACCTCAGCTCCAACCATGTGGGGCTGGGGTGGGTGTCGACTTACAAAATGCCCTCCCCCTCCACCTTTCACAGATCTGTGCCCTTCCCTGGGTATGACATTAAACTCCATCGAGTCGGCTCCTGATGTACGGTATGTCTTAGTGACTGCTGTTTGTTTTTAGGATGTGATCTGGTTTTTCATGTCCATTTTTCGTGATTATGACTATTCAGGATAAAGAATGTTTTGAGCAGAGGTGGATTCAAGGCAACC